AGATGAATATTCTATTTTTATGATTTTCTTTATTTTTCGTATTTAGAAAATATAATAAAAAAATGACGTCTAAAATGAATGAAATCTTGTAGACACAATCGTTTCATTTCTGTAGGCATGCCAGAAAAAAATGGTCTCAAAAAATGACAAAAAAGTAAAACACTGTCAAAAAGCCCCCAGTTTGTGTAGTGTAGTGCCTAGGGCCAGGTCATGGGCCGGGATGAGTCAAAAATTTATATTTTTATTTATGTTTTGCATTTAAAAATTAATATATGATTTTTAGGAATTAATACAATAAGCGGCACCATTGTTTGATAATTATTCTTTTTTTCATGATTTTCTTTATTTTTCATCTTTAAAAAATATAATAAAATAAAAATGACGTCAAAAAAAAGAAGAAAATTTGTAGGCATGATCCTTACATTCTCTTAGGCATGCTAGATAAAAATGGCCTAAAATGACAAAAAAAGTAAAACGTTGTCAAAAAACCCCCGGCCCACGTAGTGGCACCCAGGGACTAGGTCAGGAGCCGAGATGGGTCAAAAAGCTATATTTTTCTTTATGGTTTGCATTCTAAACTTAATATATGATTTGTCGAAATTAATACAACAAGCAGCACCATTTTTTGATGAAGATTCTATTTTTTATGGTTTTCTTTATTTTTTGTCTTTAGAAAATATAATAAAATAAAAATGACGTCAAAAAATAATGAAATTTTGCTGTCATGATCCTTACATTTTTCTAGGTATGCCAGAAAGAAATAGCCTAAAAAGACAAAAAAAGTAAAACGCTATCAAAAAGCCCCCCGCAGGCGTATGAGGGTGCCCATGTGCGAGCTTAGGGGCCGGGATGTGTCAAAAATTTATTTATTTTATTTATGTTTTGCATTCTAAAATTAATATACAATTTTTAAGACTTAATGCAACAAGCAGCACCATTTTCTGACGAATATTCTATTTTTTATGATTTTCTTTATTTTTTGTCTATAAAAAATATAATAAAATAAACATAACGTCAAAAAATAATGAAATTTTTCTGACACAATCCTTACATTTTCTTTGGCATGCCAGAAAAAAATGGACTAAAAAAATGACAAAAAATGTAAAACGCTATCAAAAAGTCCCCGGCCTGCGTAGTGGGCGCCCAAGGGCCAGCTCAGGGGCAGAGATGGGTAAAAAATTTATATTTTTATTTATGTTTTACATTCTAAGATTTTTATATGATTTTTAGGAATTAATGCAAGAAGCGACACCATTTTTTATGAATATTCTATTTTTTATGACTTTCTTTATTTTTTGTCTTTAAAAAATACAATAAAATAAAGAGGACGTCAAAAAATAATGAAATCTTGCAGACACGATGCTTAAATTCTTTCAGGCATGCTAGATAAAAATAACGTCAAAAAATGGCAAAAAAAAAAAGAGTAAAGCACTGTCAAAAAGCCTCCGGCCTGCATAGTGGGGTGCCCAAGGGCCAGCTCTGGGGCCGGGCTGGGTCAAAAATTTAGTTTCTTATTTAAGTTTTACATTCTAAAATTAATATAGGATTTTTTGGAATTAATGCAACGAGCGGCACCAATTTTTGATGAATATTCTATTTTTTTTATTTTCTTTATTTTTCATCTTTAAAAATATAATAAAATAAAAACAACGTCAAAAAATAATGAAATTTTGCTGAGACGATCCTTACATTTTTCTTGGCGTGCCAGAAAAAAATGGTGTCAAAAAATGACAAAAAAAGTTAAACGTTGGCAAAAAGCCACCGGCCCGCGTATTGGGGCGCCTAGGGGCGAGCTCAGGGCCGGGATAGGTCAAATTTTTACATTTTTCTATATGTTTTTCATTCTAAAATTAATAAATGATGTTTTGGAATTAATGCAACAAGCGACACAATTTTTTGATGAATATACTATTAACATAAAAACGACGTCCAAAAATAATGAAATCTTGCAGACGGGATCCTTACATCTTGCCAGAAAAAATAGCCTAAATAGCCTAAAAAAAAGATAAAAAAAAGTAAAACCCTGTCAAAAAGCCCCCGGCCCGCATAATGGGGTGCCTAGGGGCCAGCTCCGGGGCTGGGATGGGTCAAAAATTTATATTTTTAATTATGTTTTTCATTCTAAGATTTTTTTATGATTTTTCAGAATTAATGCAACATGCGGCACTATTTTTTGATGAATATTCTATTTTTTATGATTTTCTTTATTTTTCGTCTTTAAAAAATATAATAAAATAAAAATGATTTAAAAAATAATGAAAATTTTCAGACATGATCCTTACACTTTTCTAGGCATGACAGAGGAAAATAGCCTCCAAAAATGAGAAAAAAAAAAGTAAAACGCGGTCAAAAAGCCCCCGGCCAGCGTAGTGGGGCGCCCTGGGGCTAGCTCAGGCGCTGGGATGGGTCAAAAATTTACATTTTTCTTTATGTTTTGCATTCTAAAATAAATATATGATTTTTAGGAATTAATGCAACAAGCGGCACAATTTTTTGATGAATATTCTATTTTTTAATGATTTTCTTTATTTTTCGTGTTTAAAAAATATAATAAAATAAAAATAACATCAAAAAATCATGAAATTTTCCTTTCATGATCCTTGCATTTTTCTAGGCTTGTAAGAAAGAATGGCCTCAAAAAATGACAAAAAAAATGAAACATTGTGAAAAAGCCTCTGGCCCGCGCAGTGGGGCGCCCAGGGCCTAGCTCAGGGGCCGGGATCGGTAAAAAATTTACATTATTAGTGCAACAAGAGCACCATTGTTTGATGAATATTCTATTTTTTTTATTTTTTGATTTTTCCAATTTTAAAAATATAATAGAATAAAAAAAACGTGAAAAAATAATGAACTTTTGTAGATATGATCCTTACAATTTTCTAGGCATGTCAGGAAAAAATAGCCTCAAAAACTGACAGAAAAAAGTAAAATGTTATCAAAAAGTTCCCAGCCCGCGTAGTGGGGCGCCCAGGGGCAGCTCAGGGGCCGAGATCCGTTAAAAAATTATTTTTTTATTTATATTTCACATTCTAATATTCATATATGATTTTTAGGAATTAATGCAACAAGCCGTACCACTTTTTTATTGAATATTCTATTTTTTATGATTTTCTTTTTTTCGTGTTGAAAAAATATAATAAAATAAAAACACCTCAAAAAATAGTGAAATTTTGCACACACGATCATTACATTTTTTAGGCATGCCAAAAAAAAATGACCTCAAAAAATGATAAAAAAGTAAAATGCTGTCAAAAAGCTCCTGGCCCGCGTTGTGGCGCACCCAGGATCCAGCTCAGGAGCCGGGATGGGTCAAAAATTTAAATTTTCATTTATGTTTTACATTCTAAAACTAATGTATGAGTTTTAGAAATTAATGCGACAAGAGCACCACTGTTTGATGAATATTCTATTTTTTATGATTTTTTTATATTTGGTCTTTACAAAATATAATAAAATAAAAACAACGTCAAAAAATAATGAAATTTTGCATACATGATCCTTCCATTTTTCTTGGCATGCCAGAAAAAATAGCCTAAAAAACTGACAGAATAAAGTAAAACGCTGTCAATAAGCTCCCGGCCCACGTAGTGGGGCGCTCACGGGCCATCTTAGGGGCCGGGATGAATAAAAAATTTACATTTTTATTTATGTTCTTTATGGTAAAATTAATGTATGATTTTTAAGAATTAATACAACAAGCGATACATTTTTATTGATGAATATTCTATTTTTTTATATTTTCTCTATATTTTGTCTTTCAAAAATATAACAAGATAAAAATGACGTCAACAAATAATGAAACTTTTAAGATGCGATCCTTACATTTTTCTAGGCATGCCGAAGAAAAATGGCCCCAAAAAATGAGAAAAAAAGTAAAACGCTGTCAAAAAGGCCCTGGCTAGCATAGTGGGGCGCCTAGGGGCCAGCTCAGGGCCCGGGATATGTCAAAAATTTATATTTTTATTTCTGTTTTACATTCTAAGATTAATATATGATTTTTTGGAATTAATGCAACAAGCGGCACCATTTTTTGACGAATATTCCATTTTTTATGACTTTCTTTAGTTTTCGTCCTTAAAAAATATAATAAAATAAAAACGACGTCAAAAAATAATGAAATCTTTCAGACACGATACTTATACTTTTCTAGGCATGGCTGAAAAAAATAGTGTCAAAAAATGACAAAAAAAGTAAAGCACTGTCAAAAATCCCCCGGCCTGCGTAGTGGGGCGCCCAGAGGCCAACTCAGGGACCGGGCTGGGTCAAAAAATTATATTTTTATTCATGTTTTACATTATAAAATTAATATAGGATTTTTAGGAAATAATGGAACAAGCGGCACCATTTTTCTGATGAATATTTTATTTTTTGTGATTTTATTTATTTTTTATATTTAAAAAATATAATCAAATAAAAACAACGTCAAAAAAGAATGAAATTTTACAGACACGATCCCTACATTTTTCTAGGCTTGTCAGAAAAAAATAGCCTCTAAAAATGATAAAAAAATGAAAACGCTGTAAAAAATGTAACATCCCAATTTTCAGACTTAAACTTTTGTGCTAATTTTGTATGAAGAAATTGTAAGAGAAATGATAAAAGAGTTTAAGGATTAAATTGCAAGGCTTTAGGGGGCATGATTGAAAGAATTTTCATTGTTGGGGGCCATATTGCAATATTAAGAAAAAAGGGAAAAAAAAAAAACACATCAAACACATCCAGCTATCCACTCACGTGGCAACCCCCCTGCGGTGGCAATAATAATTTTCCACCAAAGCCACAAAGCTCATGCTCCCATAAGACACGTGGAGAGGCTAACAAGGCTAAGGGGGCAATGAGAAAAAAATTCACGTCTCCTCTTCTCTCTCATTCTCATTCTCCCTCTCCCTCTGCGTACACTCTCTCATTCCCATTCTCCCTCTCCCTCTGC